AAGAAAAATAATTTCTTATTATAAATTTTTCTCTAAAGATGTGATTAATTATATAAAAATGTTTATATTATTTCTATATTTTTGAGTCTACTAAATAATTTATTTCATTTAAATGAATATTTGAGACAAAGAATAATTTATTTATCACAAATAAAATTTTTATTTACGCCAAATAAATAATTTATAATTGGCTCTGAGACAAACTGATTTTAATTTTACAAAAGTAAAAATAAACTTTTAATCAATGAAACATAAAACATAACCTATAATTCATTTGTTTTTTAAGGTCCCTTTCTTTAGTGCGCGTCACATTTATTTGCACCTAATAAAATATATTTGAGTTAAATAAATGTAATTAATTTATTTAACTCAAATATATTTTATTAGGTGCAAATAAATGTGATGCGCACTAAAGAAAGGGACCTTAAAAGTAAAAATGAATTATAGGTTATGTTTTATGTTTCATTGATTAAAAGTTTATTTTTACTTTTGTAAAATTAAAATCAGTCTCAATATTAAAAAAAAAATAAATAATTTTTTATTGAATTGAATTATTATAATTGATAATTTGCAGATAAATTTAGTTTTGAAATATGTACATTAATTTTCCTAGGCAGACATATATATATTGTGTAGAAGAGAGTCAATTCAACAGTGTAATTATAACTTAACAAGGTATTATAATTCTTATGCTTGTTGGGTTATATATAAGGTAGAAGACAAATGTCTGATTACCTTTCCCTGTAAAATGCATCTATAAACTACTCATGGCATCAGGTGCTATGATAATTAGTCATTGACACGCAAACCTTTTTATTCTATTTTTTTTGTTTTCATTTTTTCTCAGAATTATTCAAGAGATATTTATTGTTAATTTAATTTTAACTCCTTTGTAATAATTTTTACTATTTTTATATATAAACAATTAAATTAACACACCATTTGGAATGTAATTTATACATTTATAATATTTATATATATTTATATATTTTTATATTTTTATATTTATGTATTTATGTATTTATTTCTTTATAAATTTTTTCCAAAAATATTACTTTAAATAAATAAAAATGATTTTTTTAAAATTAAAATCCCTTTCAGGCTGTAAATGATTTGAAAAATAAATAAACTTCGATATGTACATTAATTTTTTAATGTAATTATATACAAATATTTAATCACTACCTCCTGTACACTTTGGAAAACTAAATAAAAATAATAAACAAACATAGATATTAATTGGAAAACGAGCAAAAATGTATTCTCGTAAAATTGAAAAAGAAAAGATCAGCAAAAACATAAAAAAAAATAAAATAAAATTAGAAACTAAAATCTTTTTAATTACCGAGACTTTCTATATATTTTATTTACATTTCATTCACATCAATTTATTTATATTTTTGTATTTTATTTATATTTTTATTAGAAATAAAAAAAATTATATCCATTTCCAGAAGTAAATTGAATTTTAATTAAACAAATGGTTAAAAAGAAATTAAAAAAAAAACTCTTGTTTAATTACAAAAAATTCTATAAATTGGTTTGTTGTTTCACTTTTTCTTTCTTTTGGAACAGGCAGAAAAAGTTTTTAAACTCTATTTTTTTTAAATTCAAATATAAATAGTTTGAAATATAAAAAAAATAGTTTTCCAAAAAAAGAATGTATAAATGACGATTTTTCTAAATATTTACGACACATGAATAAGTTCTAAAAATCATTAGGCATTTTAAAGAATTTCATGAGAATTTTATTTTTTAGACAAATTTTCATTTTTCGAATTAGTATTTAACAAAATTTCTTTTTTCGCCATTGACATGAAAAAGTGTCTTTTTTGTACCTGTTTTGGGCAGATAAAGTAGCACTTTTTAAGGCAGTTTGGGCCAACTGCCTAAAAAAGACTTTTTTATAACAATTTTTACTTCACAAAATTTTTAGCCACCAAATTTTTGTTTGGCAGAATTTTTATTAGTCATTTTCTTTACATTGACCTTTTATTTAATTCTGCCAAACAAAAATTCGGTAGCTAAAAATTTTATTAAATACAATATCTTATAAATAAGAAAATGTGTTAAATTTTAATTTAAAGATTGCAAATTCGTACAAAAAAATAATTATATTTCTAATAAAATTGGTATAAAATTTTTTATAAATAAATAATAAATAAAATAAATTATAAATAAATTTTAATTTTTATTGAAAAATTCATGATCCCCTTATTCAAAAATATATATATTTTTTTATTCAGAAACTACTTTTATCGCACAGTCAACTATAAATTAAAACGCTAAATCGCTGCTGCTGTTGCTATATAGCCAAGAAAAAAGAAAGTCAATCGCAATTAAAAAAAAAAGCACAAGCGACAGGATTGAGAAGTTGAAAAAAAAGCTCAATCGGATTTTTTCTCTCCTCTCTCTCTCTCTCTCTCTTTAAGTCTCTGTTCGAAATCAAAGCTCGGAAATCTCCAACAGCTTAAATCCTCAATCGAATGCGACATTTCCGGTCGATCAGTTGATGTCGAAGAAATTCGACGACGTGCTTATCATGCCGGTTGCACGGGTGAATCCTGACATTTCGCCCTTTTCTCTAAGATAGGAATCATGACCTGTCTGAATGGCAAAGCACAGAGAAACGTCACTGAGGTATCTTTCCACCGATCACAGAGAGAAAGAGAATTACGTGCATGTACAACGTGTCACTGATTCCGATTTATACAAAAGATTTTTGTACTCTGTGTGTACTTCAATTTTAAACCACAGCATCACAAAAATTGCGCAGCAATATATCTACAAAGCATTTATACAGTGGTTAAAAAAAAAAAAAAAAATTTTGTGATTGCAACAAAATCGTTTGGTCAATTTTGGTTCTTGTAACCAAATTTTGATTGGCTGAAACAAATTCGTAGTTATCTCAACATTTAATTCAATTATTTGTGTTGAACATTTTTAAATTCCAACCAAAATTTGGTTATAAAAAAATAATTTGGTTAGCACAACAAATTAGTTTGGTCTAAAAATCCAAATGATTTGTTGTCCTAACGAAAAATTTTGTTGCTCTAACTAAACATTTTTCTCAGTGTATGCACCAATCAAAACTCTCAAGATCAAATAATTTTTAAAAGAAAGAATTTGTTTAGCTTCATTTCAAGAAATAAGGAAATCGTATACATGATTCTTGGAAAAAAAGGTATTTGTGCAAGTATAGTTGCACACCTGAGGGAAGCACCTTTTTCGTTCCAAAGATAAAAGCATGTATGTTATCCACAGTTCTCTTTTTCACGTCACTGCGCTTGTGTCTTTCTTTTTATGATGAGAACTTAGCATTTCTGCTGAACAAGGGTGTGTTGCAGAAAAGCTATATATATGCTTTCTCTCTTCCGACAATATATCCGAGTGATGCATCTCAGAATGCATACGTTTCTTGTTTGCGAGATGCGCATAGGAAATCATCCCTGAGATGAGAATTCTCACAAAGGGCTTTCGGTGTATATAATCACTGCTTTATAATAATTCAAGTTGAATTTATCTCAAAATTTGTCACAAATATTCGCTTCACGAATTGCTGAGGCTCATTTTGTTTTATTAGAAACTAGCAATTGGAAACCTTAAAAACAAAGATTTTCGAATTTTTAAAATGACCTTTTGGTAATTGAATTGACCAACAGCATCCGAGCTATGGATTGAAGTGGAGATAAATTTTTATTAATTTTTGAGATAAACTTTCGGGAACAGCAGAAGAGTTACCAGAAACTATAAAAAAATATTTCAGGCACTTTTTAATAGGACCAACAGCATCCGGATTACAATCCGAACCAAAGAGGACAAAAATTTTTGCTTTAATTTTCGAGGTAAACTCTCGGGAACAGTAGGAGAGTTATTTCAAGATAGGGCTCTACAATAAATGTATGCGGCAATTTTTGAACAGCATCCAACCTACAATGGACCAAAATTCCCGAAATTTGAAATTTTAGAAATATTATCTCAGGAACAGCCCATTAGGTATCTCAAGACAGTGTTCTACAAAAACAATATATGGCGTAGATTTTTGAGTGAACAAACAGCTTCCAAACTATAATGGACCAAAGTGGAAAAACATTTTTGAAATTTTCAATTTTCGTGATCAACTCTCGGGAATACCACAGGAGTTATTTCAAGACAGTGCTCTACAAAAAAATATATCAGGCACTTTTGGATAGGACCAATAGCATCCAAGCTAGAATGGACCAAAAAATTTCGAAATTTTTAATTTTCGAGATAAACTCTCAGGATTACCACAGGAGTTATCTCAAGACAATGCTCTACAAAAAAAAACAAAAAAGGCACTTTTTGATAGAACCAACAGCATCCAAGCTAGAATGGACCAGTTTCCGAAATTTGAAATTTGAGAAAAATCAACTCGGAAACAGCCCTTTAGATATCCCACGATAGTACTCTACAAAAAATATTTTGGGCACTTTTTGATAGATCCAACAGCATCCGAGCTACAATGGACCAAAGATGGACAAAAAATGGCAAAAATTTAAAATTTTCGAGATAAAGTCTCGGGAATAGGAGGAGAGTTATCTCAAGACAGTGCTCTACTAAATAAAGATCCAAAAACACTTTTTGAATGGACCAACAGCATCCAAACTACAATGGACCAAAAATTTTCTAAACTTTTAATTTTCGAGATAAAGTAAAGGAATAGCTGGAGATATTATTTGTATAGCACTATTCTAAGACAGTGTTCGCCAAAAATCCGCACTTTTTGGTAGAACCAACAGCATCCGTGCTACAATGGACCAAATTTTTGAAATTTTAAATTTTCGAGATAAACTCTCGGGAATTGCAGAAGAATTATCACAAGCCAGTACCCTACAAAAAAATATCTAGAACACTTTTTAAAAGGACCAACAGCATCTGAGCTACAATGGACCAAACTAGACAAATATAAAAATTTCAGTTTCTCGAGATAAATCTCGATCGATTAACAGGAAAATTAGCCCAAAATAGTATTTAAGAAGATGTTTGATACACTTTTCGAAAGGACCAACAGCATCCGAGCTACAATGGACCAAACTAGACAAATATCGAAATTTCAGCTTCTCGAGATAAATCTCGATCGATTAACAGGAGAATTAGCCCAAAATAGTATTTAAAACAAATGTTTGAGACACTTTTCGAAAGGACCAACAGCATCCGAGCTACAATGGACCAAAATGTATAATACGGAAAAAAATACCATGTAAAATGCATATTCTATTGTGAAATTCTAAAGAACATATAAAAAAAGAAATAAAAAGCAAACAAAAGAACATTTTATTAGATAATCAAAGTGATCAGTTCGTTGATAGTCTGGGCATTTAATTTTCGTCTAACAAGAAGCATCTTCCCGCGTGTAAGAAAAGTCTCCATGGACAGTGACTTATGACCTCGTAATCTCTTAAGTAGCGAACTACGAGAGCTGTAACTTTACTCTACTCGTCTCTTCCCCTTTTATAGAACCGCACTTGGCAATGCATTATTCTCCGAGTTTTATTTGAATTTGGAGAACAGGAAACTCAACGTTGTGTATATATATATATATACTTTGATAAACATCTAGAAAATTCTCTAATTAAAAATGAGAAGAGGGGAGATGCAAATTTGCAAAAAAAAAAAATATACAAGATTTTCAATAATTAATGTAGCTTTTTTTATATCTATTTTCCGTCACATATTAAAAAAAAAAAGATTGTTGACGTGAAATTATTTTCCAAAATGACGTTAATTTCATTACAAACATATTTGAGTTAATGCTTTTAAAACTATATGACATTTGTATATCATATCGAAGTGAATTTCCTCAGGCAAAATTCACATGGATTTTCACATGAAATTCCTGCATATATATTCTGTTTGGAAAGCGTATGCTCATGTCTCATGTCAATCAATTTTAATCAGCTTGAAGGGTTCAATCCACATAATTTAATATTCCAAAGTTTCAAGTTTCAATTATTGTAATTCAATAATAATTTTGTTCTTTCATTATTCTTTTCCTAAAAAAAAAAAAAAAAGAAATCAATGCTGAAAAATTTTGTAAGTTTTATCCAAAAAAAAAGTTGAACCTCGTATGAAAGGTAAATGAATTTTTCCCTGGGAAAATGAAAGAATCACGAAATTGAATTTTAGGAAAAGGTCGATTTTTGTATTTTTTTTTGTTTGTTTTATACATAGGAAACTCTAACAATCCCAAAGTAAATTCGCATTCTCAGCAAGAATCACTCGAATCGAATCACAGCCACATAAAAATCGACCGAGACAAAATAACAAGAAAAAAAAACGATGGAGGAAAAGAAGAAGAAGGGGGAGGGGGGAAAAAAAGAGCAATTCTCTAAATTTGGCAACTCGGTCTGCGGAAACGGTAAACAATAAACCTAAATCCACGCTGATTGTGAGCCGTTGGACTGTAACGCAAACTTTATATATATACCATTGAAGTAACTTCCACACACAAACAGTTTGTAGTGACCAAGGTTGCTTACCCACATCCGTCTCTCTCCCCCTTTTCGATCCGTGTCAATATCAATTTACAAAGCTTTTGTCGCGCTTTCGTTCATTTCAAGGAAGCACCTCCTTGTGTATTCAAAAGAAAAAGAGAGATGATGAATCAAATATATTTTTTTTCCCTCAATATATATATATATATAAATATATGCGCCTTATAAACGTTGGTATGGATTTACGCTTGAGTGGACACTCTCTACAAACTTCCCCTTCGACACGAGTCGTTCCGTTCGACTGGACCTCACAAAATAGGGAGTATATTCAAAAAAAGAGGCTATAGGAACGAGATTTAACTGATGCTGCGAAAAAAAACAAAGATTAAAGACTACTAAATTCATTTTAACGATGTGAATCAACATTTTTGAACAATCAAAATATTATACCTACACTGAAAAAAAATATTTATTTGATTCAAATAATCGATTACTATTGTCAAATAAATATATTTACTTGAGGCAAGTAATTTTTGAAACCACACATATTTGAATTAAATAAACTGTATTTGAGCCAATAATTTCTGTATTCGAAACAAATACTATTTAATTAATTTAACCAAATAATTATTTGGTTCAAGTAAATATTTATTTTATAATAGTTAATTAATTTATTTGGTTCAAGTAAATATTTATTTTATAATAGTTAATTAATTTATTTGGTTCAAGTAAATATTTATTTTATAATAGTTAATTAATTTATTTGGTTCAAGTAAATATTTATTTTATAATAGTTAATTAATTTATTTGGTTCAAGTAAATATTTATTTGATAATAGTAAACCTTTGAATCAAAAAAATTTTTTTTCAGTGTATTTATAATGATTAATTAAAATTTTTCTTTCAATTCTATTAGAAGTAATTTTTTATAAAAGAATTTTTCATTTTTCTAATTAGCATTTTACAGAATCTCTTTTTATATACGAATTTTTGCAATAACAAAATTTTTAGCTATCGAATATTTGTTTGGCAGAATTTTTATTTTTTTTAGTCATTTAATTTAACAGAATTCTCATTACAATAATTGAATTTTATGTGATCCATGCGAATTGAACGAAACAAAATCATTATAGAATTTCAATAATAATATAAAATTCATTATTAAATTATTTTCCAAATAAAAACTACATTGAAAAACAAATTGATTTCATTCAAATAAATGTTTACTTGACTATTATCAAATAAATAGTTCCTTGAGCCAAATAATTTTTGAATGATATTTGTTCCAAATATAGAAATTATTAATTCAAATACAGTTTATTTAATACAATTGTATTTGGTTTCAAAATTTATTTGCTTCCAGTAAATATTTATTTAATATTAGTCAACAACTAACAGATTATTTTCCACTTGGAAAGATTCCCCGGAAAGTGCTCTCTGGAGGTTCTATCGGAATTCCTCCGGAACTTCCAACGTAATTCCGTCGGAATTCCATCGGAGTTCCAAAGAATTTCCGATTGGATTCCGACGGAGTTCCAGCGGAATTATGACGGAATTCAGATTAATATTTTTTAAAATTTTTAGAGTCCTAATTCCGCCGGAATTCCGTCGGAATCCTATCGGAAATTCTTTGGAACTCCGATGGAATTACGTTAGAAGTTCCGGCGGAATTCTGACGGAATTCCGATTAATATTTTTCAAAATTTTTAGAGTCCTAATTCCGTCAGAATTCCGTCAGAATCCCATCGGAAATTCTTTGGAACTCCGATGGAATTCCGTTGGAAGTTCCGGCGGAATTCTGATAGAATCTCCAGGGGGCACTTTCCGGGGAATCTTTCCAAGTGGGTTTTGAATAAAAATAAATTTTTGTTTTTTTCACTGATACTAATTTGCCAAATAAAAAAACAAAGTGACAGAAAATATAGAGAAAAAAAAATCCATTAATTATTCAACATCTTTAAAGATTTATATTCTATTTTGAATATATTGCAACTTTGTACTTGTTTTGTCATTAAAGAGTCATCTTATAAAGGATAATAAATTTCATCTCTCCTTTTTCCACATGAAGATTCGTAAAATGCTCTTTGTCACTGTCATTGTCAGAGGTTGCTTTTGCATATTACGCGTTGGTAATAAACGGAAGCTTTTCGTAATTGAAATTCCCGTATAATAATGAGAGTAATATAATATAAAACAAAAATTGAGTGTACATGTGATATAATAAAAGAAGAAAATAAAAGGAGGCGGGGGGGAACGGATAAAATCTCACACAAAACTGACTTTTCTTTATGCATAAATAATACATGGATGGTATTTCTGTTGGGACATCAGGTGCACGTGTGATTACACATATAGTAAAATAACGGTTATCAGAAATGACATGCGAGAAAAGCATCTCTTATAAGGAAAGAACGTGGCAACGAAGAAGATTCGTATATCAACCGGATCTAAAGCAATTTCTACTCGTCTTTCTATATTTAGTAGATGTTTTCTTACCATAAAGTAAAAATAACAAAAAATAAATTTAAAAAAAATTAACACATTCTGAGAATTTTAATCAACTCAACTTTTTTTTAAGGAACATTTTCAAAAGATAAATTACCATAAAAAATATAAATAATTTTGTTAGTTTTTAAATTTAATTTAATAAAAATAAAATAAATTAATGAATAAAAATAATAATAATAATAATAAAAATAATAATAATAAAAATAATAATACTAATAAATAATAATAATAATACTAATAAATAAATAAAAATTCGATTGTTTAGAGTTTGAATTTAATATTTCCGACGTATATTCGAAATATAAGGGAAAATAAAAAAAAGGAAATTTTAAAAATTAATATAATACAAAAATAGAGAGATGAATTTAAAAGTTAATAAGTTAATATGGATTTGAGAGCGTATATATATATATATATAATATTGAATAGATCTCTCATGGCAACAAGAACAAATTTGTTGATGGAGACTATTCGAGAGACAGTAATCGAAATGCCAATAATGTCCGCGATGATGCCTGAGGGAAGAGAGAAGCTATATACATATATAATATAGTTAAAAGTACGTTTTGTGTGTATAAACATTTTATCAAATATAAAATAGCAAAAAAAAAAAACTATTTTCAAAGGAATATTTAATTCTAATTTTATTTTCGCAAAAATAATTATAATTTTCTCTGGAGCAACGATATATATTTCTCTAGAATAGCAAAAATTTTACCTGTTTTAGTGAAACATATCATTGTTCTAGGGTAGCGATTATGTATTTTGATTTACCTTTGACGTCAAAGTCATTTTCATTTTGATTTCGTAGTCAAATGTAATTTTACATAGTTTTACGTAAAATGATTGTTTTGATTTGTCAAATTGTAATAACCACAATTTTGAAGTATAATTACTTTTTTCCTGTTGGAAATATTAAAGTATGACTGTACACAAACCGAAATGTGACGTTGTGTACGAATTTTAATTATAAGCGATTTTGAATAGACGAGAGTTTAGTACTCGACACACGAGCAACGTGACCAGACATAAATTCGAATTGAATTGTATAGTGATTAATCAAAATAATTTTATAAATCATGTGGAGTGATTTCTTTTCTTTAATATAATTTTTATTGTAAATTAAATGTAAAACTATCAAATTTTATCAACGAATATCATTTTTAATAAAGCTATATCTTTGTAATAATTGAAAGTGTCGTTATTGAATATACATCTCACAGCCGCGTAATTAAGAATTCTCAATATTAGGCTTGATTGCGTTGTTAAAACATTTGGTCCTTCGAATCGGATTGCTCAGACATTAAAGTGTAAGTGTCGAGTGCTCAGACTTAGACCCAATTTTCAATTTTGAAAATTGGAATTTGACTGTGAAAGAAAAGTGTACCATTATCTACGTACATACTACTCAACTTGTGGATCCTATGGATAAACTACTGGAATGTGGTGGATACCTTTTTCTTTGATAATTCTATTTGGGTCTCATCTTCGAGAGGAGTGAGAAATCTACACCGTTGAACTCTGCGAAATTCATTAAAATTGTTAGAATCGAGGCCGCTTTCGAAGGCGGAAATCACGACGAATTTGGTATTGTTTGACTCATCACTGTAAGCAAGTATACTTCTATTGTTATTGTTTTGATCGTTCGATTGTATCATTCTCATTATTACTAATTACTATTTAATTATAATGGATAAAACTGACATTAATGTTGCTCGACAGAACCGCACAAATTGTAAGTCAAAACTCACAAAATTTAATACTTTTTTAGAAAATTGTAATGCTGATTTGAGTGTCGTTTCTGTCGAGGAAGTCAAGGGTCGATTGAAAAAAATTGAAGATCTATGGAATGAGTTTGATGAAGCGCAATTAGTATTAGAAATAAAACTCCCAGGCCCGACTAGGGAGACAGATAGAACTGAATTTGAAAATAGTTATTTTAAATATACTGCTGAAGCAAATGAAATTATTAAAAACATAATTGCTCAAACGTCAGGCACGGGACAAAACGAAACAATACGACAACAAACAATTGCGTTACAATTAGAAACAGAAAACGAATTAATTCGACAACGAACGATTGCAGCACAATTAGAGGTAGAATTGAACACTCAACGAAACAATGAACTAATACATATGAGGGCTTTGGCGGCTTCGCGAGCTTTAAGTATAGAAACATCTAATGTAGAAACACCGATAATTAGAAATAGTTTTCCGTTGCCCAGACTCGATCTCCCCACTTTCTCGGGCGGTTACGAAGAGTGGCTCGGGTTTAGGGACTTATTTACTGCAATTATTCACGACGATAAAAATATTCCTAAAGTTCAGAAATTGCGGTATTTAAAGTCATATTTAAAAGACAATGCAGCACGCGTAATCGAGAACATAGAGATTTCTGAAGCAAGCTATGATGTTGCCTGGAATTTACTAGAAGAGAGATTTGATAATAAGCGTTTGATAATTAACAATCATATGATGGCTATACTTGAATTGTCATCACCAAGTAAAGAATCTGCCACGTGTTTACGAGACTTACTTGATAAAATTTTGACACACGTGCGCGCGCTTAAAATGTTGAATCAACCCACAGACACTTGGGATACGCCCCTAATTTGTATTATCACATCAAAGCTTGACAAAGAATCTAGACGGGAGTGGGAACGATCGAGGAAGGGCACCGAGATGTCTACGTTTAAGGAATTAACTGATTTTTTGCAAGAGCGCTGTCAAATGCTAGAGACACTGAATTCTGGAATCAACGATCAAAATAAACAGAAAACAAATAATAAATTTCAAACTAATTCGGAAAAAAGAACAATTGGTAAATCTTTTTTAAACACAAATAATAAAATGGTTTGTTCAATTTGTAAAGATAATCATTCAGTTCATAATTGCTCGGAATTTTCAAAGTTGAACGTTGAGGAAAGAATTCAGATGACGAAAAAGAAAGGGCTGTGCTATAACTGCTTGGGAGCGAACCATATGATTGAAAAGTGTGTCTCGCGAAATTGTAGCATATGTCATAAGCGTCATCACACGTTATTACATCGGGAATTTTCAAAAAATTCGGGATCCGAATTATGTGGTGAATCGAGAGAAAAGAATATAGTAAAGAGTAATCATGTTACTGATTCCTCGATGGTTCTTTTATCTACAGCTATCGTGAACGTGGTTGACGCGAATGGCAAACGACATATTTGTAGAGTTCTTTTAGATAGTGGCTCTCAGCCAAATTTAATGACTGAAGAATTCGCGAATAAATTGAATCTTAAAAAACATCGGTTGAATTCTGCGATTGAGGTTCTGAGCGACAAAAAAATAAATAGTGTTAATTGGGTGGAGACAATGCTTGAGTCTAATGAATCATCTTATGCATCCAAACTTTCCTTTTTGGTCCTTCCAAAAATAACTAGTGAAATTCCATCTATTCCAATAGACAAAAATCAATTTAGTATTCCCTCTCACATCAGGTTAGCTGATCCGAATTTCCATAGGCCTGCGATGGTGGACATTCTACTTGGAGCAGAACTCTTCTATGATCTACTAGGACAAAACAAGATATCTCTTGCGGTACCACATGTCACTCTTCAAGATTCAAGACTGGGGTGGATCGTGACGGGAAAATTGAACAACAATTCGAATCAGCCGAGATTGAAATGCAACCTGGTACGGGATCCACTGACGATTCAACTGGAAAAATTTTGGAATATCGAGGAAGGAGTCAAAACAATCTATCTAACAAAGGAGGAATCTGATTGTGAAAAGCATTTCTCTGAAAATGTGCAACGTGATCATACAGGAAGATACATCGTTCGTCTAGCATTCAACAAAAAAATAGAGCAATTAGGCGATTCATACGATGTAGCCAGACGAAGATTCTTCATGTTAGAGAGAAGATTTGCAAGGGACGAGAAATTGAAAAAAGACTACCAGACTTTCATGCAGCAATACGAGGACCTTGGCCATATGGAACCATCATCCAGCGGTCCAGAGGAAGGTTATTATATACCACATCATGCCGTGATCAAAGAAGCCAGTACGACTACCAAACTTAGGGTAGTCTTCGATGGATCATCAAAGACTGATACTGGAATTTCGCTTAATGAAACTTTACTGGTAGGTCCAACAATCCAGACTAATCTGTTCGCGCTCCTGATGCGATTCCGTCAACATCCAGTCGGACTCAGCGCGGACATCGAGAAAATGTACAGACAATTCTGGATTCATCCTGACGACAGAAAGTTTCAAAAGATCCTATGGCGAAAAAATCAAGATTCACCAATCAAGACCTACCAATTAAAAACAGTGACCTACGGAACTTCGGCAGCACCATTCTTGGCCATTCGATGCCTGAAAGAGTTGGCCAAAGATGAAGGTGCGAACTATCCAGAAGCAGCTAGGACTCTCGAGGAGGACTTCTATGTTGATGATGCATTGACTGGATCCAACACTGTTGAAGAGGCTCAGCAACTACAAGGAGACTTGATACAGTTGACTCAGAGAGGAGGACTTCATCTATGTAAATGGAGATCGAATAAACTGGAACTCATTGAAAATTCATCCGATCCTGTGGATTCAGACCTAAGATTGGACCTGGAGACATCTTCCAAGACACTAGGAGTGATGTGGAATACGAAACTGGACACATTATACTTCAAGGTCACTGCTGATCAAGAAAAAAAAATTATTTCGAAACGGAGTATGCTTTCGAAAATCGCAAAAGTTTATGATCCTTGTGGCCTCATCGCTCCAGTAATTACATCCGCGAAGATCAAGATGCAAGAACTCTGGAAAACCGGAACTTCGTGGGATGATCCAGTACCACCTGAAATCCTGGAAGAATTTGAATTGTATCAAGGTCAACTGCACCTAATCAATGAGTGGAGTTTGGAAAGAGCAGTCAGATTATATCAATCAGCTGATCTTCAGCTTCATGGATTCGCAGATGCAAGCGAAAAAGCCTACGGGGCTTGCATTTATGTCAGGACAACTAACGACGATCAACATAGAAGCGTCTTATTGTGTGCAAGGTCACGGGTCGCACCGCTCAAGGTCGTGACATTGCCAAGGTTAGAGCTTTGCGCTTCAGTTCTGTTGACGAAACTCCTGAATACCGTGAAGGATTCACTGCGATGCAAAATAGACAAAATCAGACTATGGTCAGACTCGATGATTGTTTTGAGTTGGATAAAATCCTCACCGCATCAATTCAACACCTTCGTGGCTAATCGGGTCGCGGAGATTCAAGAGTCGACTAATGCAAGCATGTGGGGACATGTCAGATCAGAGGACAACCCAGCTGACGTAATATCCAGGGGTCAGATGCCGAGGGACTTTATAACTAACGCGATGTGGAAGAGTGGCCCGGAGTGGTTACAATCATCGGAGGAAAACTGGCCAAATCATGGAATTACCTGCAAAGAGCTTCCTGAAAGAAAGAAAAATAAAGTTATGATAGTGACGGACAAATCAGCGAGACTAAATTTATGGAGCAGGTATTCATCACTGAGTAAACTAATCAATGTTGTGGCCTATTGTCTTCGCTTTCTTCGCAAAACAAAAGGACAAAATCAATTTCCTGAACAGTTGACACCGGACGAAATAAGCGAGGCTTATAATAGAATCATATTCCTCATTCAACGGCAGGAGTTTCCAGACGAGATCCGACAACTGGAAAAGGGTGAAGAACTTACGAAGAGGTCCAAACTACGAAAACTCAAGCCAATCATCCATGAAGAATTGCTGAAGGTGGGAGGAAGAATAAAAAAATCCCTAATATCCTCTGATAAAAAACAACCTATCCTTCTTCCAAAAACGCATCCCGTTACAGACCTAATTATTCGCGATACTCATGAAAAGAATATGCATTCGGGCGTCAACGGTACTTTGTACGCGTTGAGAGAAAAATTTTGGATAATTGATGGTAGAGTATCAATTCGTAGAATTTTGAACTTGTGTGTGAAATGCTTTCGAGTAAGACCAAAAGAGGTATCGTATGCAATGGCAGATCTCCCCAGAGTAAGAGTTACACCTGCTCGACCATTTGAAAACTGCGGAGTAGATTACTGCGGCCCTTTCTTCGTAAAAGAAAAACAATTCCGAAATAGAAATAAGGTGAAAGTATATGCGGCTGTGTTCGTTTGCATGAGTACGAAGGCGATTCACGTGGAACTGGTGGGGGACTTGTCTACCGAAAAGTTCTTGGGGTGTTTGAAGAGATTTTTCGCGAGAAGGGGAAAATCAAAACGAATGTACTCGGATAATGGAACGAACTTTGTCGGAGCGAAAAACGAGCTTGACGAGCTTTACGGTCTCCTTAACGCGGAAAATCATAATCGAGAAGTAGCAAGAACGTTGGCTAATCAGAATATCGAGTGGCATTTTTCACCACCTCGGACTCCCCACTTCGGTGGAATTTGGGAGGCGGCCGTAAAGTCCCTCAAGACTCACTTGCGCAGGACGATTGGCGAGATTCTCTTTACTTACGAGGAACTTTATACGTATATGTGTGAAGTAGAAGCGATTTTAAACTCGAGACCTCTAACACCTATTTCGAATGATCCGAACGATATGGATGCATTGACACCGAGTCATTTTTTAATCGGGTCATCGATGATGACAATTCCGTCTCTAGATTTTTCTCAGACTCCGACAAACAGATTGTCTAGTTGGCAGCTTGTCCAAAAGTTGAAAAGTGACCTGTGGAAACGTTGGAATCGAGAATATTTAAACGAACTAAATGTACGATCTAAGTGGCACACAGGTTCAGCTGATATAATAAAATTGGGGACTTTAGTTGTTTTGAGAGACGATAACCTCCCTCCTTTACGTTGGAGTCTGGGCAGAGTCATCGAGTTATTACCGGGTGATGACGGGATTATTCGAGTAGTTAGAATAAAGACACAAAGTGGAACTTGTATCCGAGGAGTAAAGAAAGTTTCGCCACTTCCAGTAGAATGATTATAAGATTGAACGTGCCCGTTCAAGGGGGGCAAAATGTTGGAAATATTAAAGTATGACTGTACACAAACCGAAATGTGACGTTGTGTACGAATTTTAATTATAAGCGATTTTGAATAGACGAGAGTTTAGTACTCGACACACGAGCAACGTGACCAGACATAAATTCGAATTGAATTGTATAGTGATTAATCAAAATAATTTTATAAATCATGTGGAGTGATTTCTTTTCTTTAATATAATTTTTATTGTAAATTAAATGTAAAACTATCAAATTTTATCAACGAATATCATTTTTAATAAAGCTATATCTTTGTAATAATTGAAAGTGTCGTTATTGAATATACATCTCACAGCCGCGTAATTAAGAATTCTCAATATTAGGCTTGATTGCGTTGTTAAAACATTTCCCTTTATTAAAAATTTAAGAATAAAAACTTTATTTAGGAATTAAATGATGAAAAAGTGAAGTAAGTAATTTTAAAAAGATCAAGACAGCATTACAAGGATTTTTAAAAAAACTTCTATAACTTTAACAAACAAAGTAAAAATAAGAGGTTAAAAAAACTTTAATTTATGAAATATAATTAAAATATTAATATTATTTTATTTATTCATTCACATATGTTAAGAGGAAAAATTGAAAGAATTATTTAAATATTACTATTTATATATAATTAATTACAGTTTAAATAAAATTAATCGTTAATTTTTATTTACACAAATATAAATAACAGTCTCGTTACTGAATTTATGTTTAGGAATTAATTGCAATTACATTATGCCAAAAAATTGAGTATTTTAAATAATAATTTATGTTGAGCATTTTCTATTTTAAATTACATCAATAAATTATATACAAAAATGTCAATTTGCTCAAAACAGTAGGAAACTAATTTAAGTTAAAATTATTTTAGGAAAAAAATATTTCATCGGTCAAATGTAAGTAATTTTTTATGTTTTGAATTATTTTTTAAACGACATAATTTCTTCTTTAGTTTTTGATATTTTAGTTTATTTTATTCTGACTACATTTATAAAAATGAAAGTAAGGCATTATTCAAAACAATTATAACTTATCCCTGGTTTCAACATTAAAAAATACTTACCGTTGACAGATGAAATAATTTATTAAATAATTTTAACCTAATTATTAATCTTTTAAAAATTCCTTAATTATACCGCTTTTTTAACTGTTTAAAATTACTTACTTTACTTTTTTATAATTTAATTCCTAAATAAATTGTGGATATTACAATTTGACAAATCAAAACAATCATTTTATGTAAAACTACGAAAAATGACATTTGACTACGAAGTCAAAATGAAAATGACTTTGACGTCAAAGTTAAATCAAAATACATAATCGCTACCTAGGTGAAGATATTTTTTTGCGTGTACTTTAGCAAAAATAAAAGAAAAATTACATTGTAAATTGTAATTATTATTTTTTTTTTTTTTTGCAAAAAACCACTTAATTCATTTGTTTCTTGATCGCATAGAGAGATTTTTTTTTCCACTATAGTACCTATCCACAAACAACAATACGAAACTAATACACCTGTGGCTACCTGCGGTTATTCTATATTCTACCCTCTATATATATATATATATATTGACTTCGACAAATTGAAATCGTTATCTCCAGCTTCAACCTCTGTGGAATCAAAATAACAGTTGACTAACTTAAATCCCCGAGTTATAAATATTTGTTTTTTTTTCCAATCGTTCGAATTTTCGAAAAACTATTTTTCAAATCGAGAACAAAAAAATTGAAGAAAAATAATACTATAGAAAATAAATAATAGAAAAACTTATTCAAAAAGAAACGAAATTTTGTTTTTCCTGAATCGAAAAACAATAATAGCAATACAATAATACACGAATGTGTAATGTGCAACAATACACCTGTTGCTTAACATATAGCCATCATAGGTTAAGCGAAGATCATCTCTCTCTCTTTGAACACAAACCAACTAGATTCCTAATCCAATTTGTCAAAGTTCATGATTACATCAATTTTGCCTCTAATAATTAAATATTAAAATTAAAAAAATATTTTTGACAAAATGACAAACAAAAGCTCGAGAGATAACAACTGAGAAAACTGTCAACTATTATAAAAAAAAAATAACACCTAAAGTTCAGAGACTGAAATTTCCCCACATTGAAGTGCGATAGAACAATGCTTATACATCATACTGATAAATTTTTAACGGATAGGAATCTATACTGGTCTGCAATTTTTTTTTTTTTTTTTTATTGAATGCCGTGCGCGCGAACACCATTGGAAATACATAAAGGAAATAGGTATATATATACGAAATGGGAACAAAGCCAGAAAACATCTCTGCAAATACATCTTTTTTTTTTCTTCTTTTTTTGCAAAAAAAAAAAAAAAGAAAAAAAAAAGGTTGTGTACCTATATGCCATATTCATAGACAAATACGGTACCCCCTTCGGTGAATGGAAATTATGTGATTGTAAATCGACATATGTTCGTGATCTGTATACATGAACATAGTGCGGCAAACAATGGTGTAAAAAAAAATTGGTCCATCATTTTTTTTATTGCATTTCGAATTCTAGGATTTTTTTTTAATAATTTGAAATCAATTTAAATTTTCTTTAACTTTAAAATCATTTTCTGAATTTATACGAAAGTAAATAAAGGGCATTCCCTTTGGATTTGAATAGAGAAATTATAATATTATAAAGAAATGTTGTTACTCACGTAATGCGTCTGAATTTTAGATGTTGTAAGGAAACTCACCTGCAAAAAAACAAAAAATTTAATTATTTAAATTTTGCATTATAGTTCAGTGAATTTTACTGATAATTCAATATTGACGATTCTATTATCTGAATTATTTTTCACTTGACATGATTCTGTCATTTGAATTATTAATTTGATTTTGTTACTTTAATTATTAATTTGATGATTTAATTATTTGAATAATTATTCATTTGATGATTTAATTATTTAAATTATTATTCAATTAAATAAATAAATAATTTTAAAAAAATTACATAAATAATTAAGAAAAAATAACTAAAAAAAATATATATAAAAAATTAAGTAAATACAAAATCAAAAAGTTGGTTTTCAATTCTGTTGCATTTATATAAATATCCACTGTGCCATTTTTTTTCCGTGAATTTGAAATATTTGCTAAATTTTCTATGAAACAATCAACGCGTGATTTAGAAAATTTCAAAAATTCGAATCATCACTTTACACGTTTATAATTATAGATAAAACAATTTCGATTTAAAAAATATTTGAACAATGTGTGAAAGCGAGAAAATGAAATACTTTATTCAATTATTTAAACGATTGCGATTTTCGAATATTTTGAAAAGTATTTATGTAACTTAGCAAAACCTAAAAATACAACCTAAAAATGAATTTAACTAATAATAATAATTTATTTTTCACTAAAAAATTAGAAATATTACTAATCAGTGACTTGACTTTTTTTTTGCTATCAAATTATAGTAATATTTTTATGGAAATTATCAATGTTTTTAATTCATTGAAAATTTATATAATGAAATAACAATTATCACACTATAAAGTTTTTGATGTGTCAGTAACAATTCTTAGTTACCGTTTCTTAATGAAATTTACGCCAAACGCAGTAATTCGTTGCTTTGGAACTCGATAGATTGCTGCTACGAGTATAAGACCCGAGTTTCGAAGCAATTTTAGTTCTCGAGCAAAACCGATATCTTATAGTGTATCCAAGTCGAAAGGAGTTAGTGTGTGAGCAACAGAGAGAGAGGAGATTTTTAGATTTGTTTTACTTTTCGGTGAAATATACCGACGCTCACGAATTACAGACAAAACTTGGATTTCGTTTATATATATATATATATATATTCTTCCATTCGTTGAAAACTTTTATTCCGCTAAACACCTGGCGCGAGCACTACTGCCACGTTCGAAGATAAGTCTGATGACTCAGACATCCGGTCTTGGCAAATTATATACTTTATTAAAAATCTCGTCTCTCTCTCTCTCTGACTTTTAAGATTCGGTGAGTCACCTTTTTTTCATATACAAGGTCAATAAAAACTGACCAGATAAATCTAAATTAGAAATGAAAAAAATCTTTTCAAAATAACAGCAAAAATGGCGTAATTTTAATTTCTGCTCTAGTTTTTTGTAAAAATAATACAAAATTGGGGTTTTTTAATTTCTGCTCTATTTTTACTTTAAAAAAAGGCAGAAATTAAAATAGTGCAGTTTCTGCCATATTTTTACGGAAAATAGAGCAAAAATTTTAATTTCTGCCCTACTTTTACTAAAAATTTAAGCAGAAATTAAAATGGCTCGGTTTTTGTTATATTTCTACGAAAAACTAGAGGAAAAATTAAAACGGCGCCATTTTAATTTCTGACATATTATTACGGAAAATAGAGAGAAAATGGCGCTATTGTAATTTCTCCCTTATTTTTGCTAAAAATTGAAGCAGAAATTAAAATAACGCGATTTTTGCTCTATTTTTACAAAAAAATAAAGAAAAAACGGAACAATTTTAATTTCTGCTCTAGTTTTTTTTGTAAAAATAGTGTTAAAACGTCACTATTTTAGTTTCTGTCCTATTTTTACTAAATACTAAAACGGTTTTTTTTAATTTCTGCTGTATTTTTACAGAAAATAGAGGAAAAAAGGCGTTAACTTAGTTTCTCCTCTATTCTTACGGAAAAATAGAGCAAAAATGGCGGAATTTTAATTTCTGCTCTAGTTTTTTTTAAAAATAGTGCAAAAAAGTCGATATTTTAATTTCTGCCCTACTTTTACTAAATACTAAAACAAAAATTAAAATGGCGCGGTTTTTGCCATATTTTTACGAAAAATAGAGCAAAAACAATGCAATTTTAATTTCTGCTCTACTCTTACGGAAAAATAGAGCAAAAACGGCGCTTTTTTAATTTCTGCTGTATTTTTACGGAAAATAGAGGAAAAAAGGCGCTAATTAAGTTTCTCCTCTACT